AAAAAGATCACAGATAGTGAAGCAATAAAAGACCTGCAAGGCCAACAGTACTGAAAGAATCATTTACATAAATAATAAAATCTTAGGGGAAAAAATTCCAGCTCCTTTTCCTCTTGTCCCATACTTTCTTGAACCTGAGCCAATTAGGCTTTTAAACCCATCATCTAAAAAAAAAATAAAAAAAAAAAATCAATGTGAGATCACCAATGACCACTACTTGCCAAATCCAATGATTAACTCCCAATTCTTATCTCAACTGAACAATCATCAGCAACAAACTCCTTCACTTGGTTTCCAGGACTCCATGTTCCTGGTTTTCCTACAACCTCAGTGGCTCCTCTCTTTGGTCTCCTTTGCGGGATCCTCCTCGTCTTCCTGATCTCTATTTGGTGAAGTACCTGGAGCTGAGTCCCCAGACTATTCTTCACCTTTATCCAATTCTTAGATAATAGCATCCAGCCTCCTGGCTCTAAAAGCTTTTGATATGATGACAACTTCAAACTTCACATATTCTAGTCCCATCTTCTCACCGAATCTGATTGTTATAACCAAATGCCCATTTAACATTTGGTATCTCAACGTTTACACTTCCAAACCCAATTTCTTGACTTCCCTCTCAAACCTGCTCCCCTAATGGTATAAACAGAAAACAAGTCCAATTACTCAGGGTAAAAACCTTGAAGTCTTCACATACACACAACACCCAATCCATCAAAATTCCTGCTAGCTTTACCTTGGAAATAAATCCCGTATCTACTACCACTCAGCCCCTTCAACACTAGCCCATGGCACTTCCACCTCATTCATAAAATACAATGCTTGTGCCTTGGCATCTCCACTGTCTCCATCACCCCCAAAGTGTGTTCTCTATTGAGAATGATCCTTTAAAATACTAATTAGACCGTGTTATTCCTCTCCTCAAACTCCTCCAAGAGCTTCTCATGTCAGACTAAAATCTAATATCCTTATCATGGCCTACAGGCCTCTGTACCCTGCCATCTCCCCCATTTCCCCCAACTTCACCTCCCACCACTCTCCCACCTGCTCCCTATGCTCCTCAGACCCCCTTTGACACACCTCAAAAATATCTCTGGGCTATCACACTTTTGTTCTCTTTGCTTGGAAACCCCTTGGATATCCAAATGATTACATCACATTTCAATTAGGTTTTCTGTTTTCCCAAATGTCACCTTCTAAGAGGCACTCTCTAATCATCTCATATAAAATAGTATTTCCTTAATCCATGGCTCTTGATTTCCTGCTTTTTTTTTCTTCACATTTTAGCACAACCTAATATAGTTTATATTTCTTTTTGCTTATTGTCAAGTAATCCAAGCTGCCCCATCCCCGCAACCAGAAGGTAAGCTTCAAGACGGTAGACATTTTGCTAGTCAGATTTACTCTCTCCGTATCTTCAACAGCTGACGCAGTAAATGCACACAATGAACCTTTATTGAATAAACTCAAAGGCCCAGAAGTGAGAAGACTGAAGTTTCAAGAAATCAAATAAATACAGAATCAACCTATGGGTCTAGCGTGGTATGTGTGTCTATGTGTGTGTACTTTAGGTTTGGGGTCGGGGGGAGTGAAAAATGAAGACTGAAAGATAACCTATGGCAAATCATGAAGGGATTGTAAAGTCATGTTAAAGAATTCTCCGTTCTCCTCTTGGAGTAAGAGGGAACCACCAAGAGGCTTTTTTAAGCACATAAAGGTTATGAATAGACTGCAATGTAAGGATGGGTTTTGTGGGGTCCAAAACTGCAAGTACAAATGCTGGCTGTGGGGTTTTGAGTAACTCTGGCTTGAAATAAGGGTAAAGAAAATGAGGGCAAAAGGACATGAGCATATCTGAAGGATGCAGGAAGTAAATTTGACTGAATTTGGTATTTTTCTGGACACTTGATAACAGCTAGAGACTCCAAACCACATGTAGGATATGAAGAGACAGGAAAGGCACAACTTAAAAGTTACTGTTAACGGACATGTTAAGTAAGCATTGCGAGTGAAATGATCAACAGAATTTTGAGTATCATTATTCTCAAGATAAATTTTGAGACACGAAAACCATGAAAATGTTTCAAAAAGTTTTCATGTAATATAAAAATAAATTAAAAAGATCTATTGGCAGCTCACTAGAGGGACAATCTGAGGTTAGACAAATTGTAAATGCTGATAAGAAATGTGTTGTCTTTCATGCAGTGATTCTGACAACCCCTCAACTCAGTCAAATCCAACTGAATTGGGGCAATAATTCTTTTCTGCAATTCTGAATCTAATATGACGGCACCTTAAATAATACATTTCAAAATAAATGCTAGTCTCCAAATCATTTCCCTTTATAACTTTTACATGAACAGGAAAAAAAACCAATCAAATTAACCAATTTGTATGTGAATTTATATGTGAATTCTTTTCAGAAGATCAAGATGGGTCCACATTTTCAATCTAAAAATATTGTTTTGAAAATATTTAAGCAACAATAAACTAAAGGGTTCTGTAAGGAGCCTCACAGTGAATTTTTTTTATAAGGGTCAAACCAATTTTACTTAAAAAGAATGAGTTGAGAAGGAACTTGTATTTTCTCCAATTCTGAATTAATGCATTCATTTTATAATCAGTACTTGGAAAGAACAGTATGTAAACCTATACAATTATAAAACAATATTATTTAGACAGCATCAAAAAACTACAGCAAACTTTTATGAAACAGAGGTATTATGCTAAGCATTCTCCATGTATTATCTAATTTCACAATAATGACATGAGAGTTCAGTGATGTTCCAATCTTATAGATGAGAAAAGGGAAACAGAAAAAAGCCACAAAGATGGGATTCAAATCCAGAAGTCAGCTCTCAAATACGATGCAATTCTGTCTCCCAAGAACTTGTAAGTAAAAGCCCAAATCACTTGATAACTTCAGGATTGTAAAGCTTGTTTTGTTTAAACCTTTGCTTATCAGAGCACCATCACCAGAAATGTATAATAATGTTGAGTTTAATGAAAATAAATTCCCAGGTATAGCAGCCATGTTATAACAAGCACATCGGACAAAATGGATAGGATTAAGAAATTACTACAAAGTTAAATCACTTTACTGAGGCCACATCTTTAAAGTACTTTTAGTCTACAATTTGTAATTCTAAGAAAGTTGTATTACTTCAGAGGTGGTAATTAATAACAATCCTAAAAGTACTTCCACAGAGATAGATTTATCATCAAAAGGGCTCTTTTCCTTTAAAATATAAATTGTATGAAGTTTTAAAAAAGCTTCTGCAATTTTTTATCTACTACTATCTATTCTATTGTCCATTCAAAGACAACTTTAAAACCAAAATGGTCCTTAAAAGTCATTTACTTCAATTCTCATTTTGTAAATGATGAAACACAGAAATTTACTAACTCTCTGAAAGACACACAGCTAGTTACTAACACAGCTTCTAATATGATGCTCTTTCCCAGGTTAATAACTTTGAGAACTAAAGTAGTTCACAGAATGGGTGGAATAAAATAATAGGTCAGTAAGAGCTTTAATTATCAGACACCTGGTCTATTTGCTATATTAGGTGAACTTATGTACTTAGTATTATGTGAGCTGAGCATTTTCAGTTATATACAGCAATAAAAGTAATGTTAAATAACTTTCTGATCATGGGACTAATAGTCCAATATACTTAGAAAAAAGCCCTTTTCTTTATAGCTTTTCAAAACTGCACAATTATTAAGGAAAAGGAGGAAGACTATATGGTTTAATAGTATACAACTATATATTTTAGTTTATAATTTAACCTGTTCATAAGATCTATTGAACAAAAGTTATGTGAAATTCTTTCCTTCCAAGTAATTTTGTCCACTAAATGAAAAATGTTTATAGCTTGTAAGTTTATTTATAGAACAGATTATCTGGGGAATAAAGAACAATAGATACCATACTCATTTATGTAAATGTCAATAAATTTTTATTTGACAGAATATTAACAGTATTCATAGTTTTTTCAACAGCAAATTAGGATCCACATTTCTATCATTTTTACCAACATAAAAAATATTTTTAGAATGATTTTGAAAATAGTAGTAATTTATTTTTCATTTTCAAAATAATAGTCTGGGAGTGAGTGCAATCATCATTTCTAAATGAGGAGTTACTAAAGGGTTGTTTAATAATGAGGAAAAGACAAAAAGAAGGGGGCTGGGGAGGGAGGGAGAGACGGAGGATGGAAGGGATGGAGGATGAGAACAAAGGTGTTTGGGGTCATTTCTTTATGAGACTTCACCCTCCAAAATTACTTTCAATGTTTTACCTAAGATCCCTAAATATGAACTTAAATAGTTTTCAGTATCTTAGAAAAAAACATTAAATGAGATGAAGTGTGAAAAGTACTCAGAACGGTGCCTGATAGATCAGCAAAAGTTAGCTCCTATTTTTCTAAAAGAAAATTTTATCATATTATGGGAAAATTTCACTATGGAACAGAAATCTTTGTGTGTGAAACAGTGACATGCCAGGAGGGTACTTGGAACCCACAGGCAACTCAAACAATGTGCTCCTATTAACACAGGTCCTCCAACATAAATATTAGTTGTACAGACTTTTCTGTACACTCATTACCTGCTTACAATGAGAATTTGCTCCCCCTCTCAAAAAAAATAAAGCTTTCATCACCCTAACGATAATGTACCTACTTTCTTACCCTATAGTAAGAGTAATGCAATAATAATAATACCTTTGAAAAGTAGGACACCAATTGAGTTTGCTCCCCCCACAACATTTCCTTCCCCCAAAGTAAACAGGCTTTCCCATTTTAGGATTTGAGCAATGTCTGTGTTTGCCCATTATACTACAGTAAATGAGTTATAAATTATTTTTATGTTTTGAGGTTAAGTAAAATTTCTAAAAAAATAAATAACCTATTCTTTATTATCATAAACATTAATTAAAAAAAAATTAAATGGAAAAAGGGGTTGGGCCCCAAATCAAAGATTTGGAAATTATTACTTACTGCAGGTACCAGTAATTTCTTCACTTCCTCAACGGCTCTCTTCAGTTTGATCTCTGCTCTGTTTTGAGCATCTTCCACAGTGATCAGTACATGTAAATCTTCATTGAGATGCTCCCAATTAGGCTTGCCTCTGTTCTGCTCCTCCTAAAAAATTTGCAAAACACATTACCAATTTTTCTTCTCAAAGAGAGTTTATCTTTCTTAATACTAACCTGTTGCCAATTATTTAAGCTATGTTTGCATCATTTAGCTATGACGAATCCCTGAACTCTACCTCTGAAGATAATAATACACTGTATGTTAATTAACTGGATTTAAATAAAATTTTTTTAAAAATTGTGAGATTCCAATCAAAGGAGATAAAAAAAACTGGCATAAATTAATAGAACTAACAAAAAAACAGCTCTCTACTACAACTTACATGTTTGCAGAGCTCATGCTAAGGAAAATATATGGACCTTAGTCTTTTAAGGATGGAAATATATTCTATAATGAAGTATATGTTTCTGCCTGTATTTTCTGTTAATATCATTACTATGAAAATGCATCCTAATGTTTGCTAATCTGAATGGTACCCAAGAAAAATAGAGATCCCATTAATAAATGATGTGAATAAAAATTAAAACTTATGAACAAAATTTTTTTTCACTTTAAGTTGTTTTGATATAAATACTAATGAGGTTGTTTGGAAGTAACTATTTAATAAAAAAAACCTATTAAGTATTTTCTTTTGCCTAGGGGACAGACACCATGAAAAAATGAGAAACTAGGGTATCAATGAGTTAAAAAATTGAGAACCTCAGGGTTCTCTGTATGCCAAAGAACATAAAATGTATACACACATACCTCTACTGTGGCAAGGAAAATCAATTTTTAAATACAGATTTTAATTTTTATGTTGAAAAATGTTAACGATATTTTTTCACCAGAATTCGTATTTTTTTATTTATCATTTTTTTGGTAGATAGATCTAATAAAATGACTCGTATTTTTTGGTAAACCTAAAAAAGTGTGTCTATATTCATGAGTAAGGGACTTCTGCTTCCAGCCAAGATAAAAATAACATGGACAAGATTCACTCTCCTGCCTCAAACAACCAAAAAACAAAACAAAACAAAAAAACAAAACCACAAACGGGCAAAACACAAGAAATGACAGTTCTCAAGCCTCTGAACATCAGGTAATGAAGACAGTGAGGCTGAGAGATGGCCAATCAATGAAGTAAAGCCCAGGATTACTTCAGTTCTCTGGCTTGGGAGTCTCCAGGCTGCAGCCCCAGGAAGGGTGCCAGACTGCCTCTCTGGGTTGAAGTGACTAAGCTAAAGATCCAGGTAGACCAACACAGCTAGAGTTCAGACAAGAGTTCTAGAAAGAGCTATACTGAAAGAATTCTGGAGATCTGCACAAGGTCCACTCAAACACTCAGCTGAACACTAGTCAGTGCATGTGTAAAAGAGGAAATACCAGAGGCTGGAGAAAGAACCAGCCACAGGACTCAGTAAAAGTGCTGGGTTCTCACAGAGAGCCAGACTGTAAAGACTTTATGATTCACAGACACTGGGTAAAGTAAATAGAAGAGCTTGCCTCAGTAATGGGAAATAATTAAACCTGGTCTGAGCACTATTCCGGTACTGCCTAAGTAAATCTTAAAAGCAAGACCTAAAAGGATGAAAAGTGTTTCTAACTTAAACTGTGTCCCAGAACAAAGCCCAAGAATACTTACAGGAATAGGAGACATGCACCCAAATAGCTAAGTCACACTATTTGGCATCTAATCAGAAATGAACAGGCATGCAAAGAAGCAGTTAAATACAACATAAATGAGAAGAAAAACCAATCAAACTAACCTAGAATTGTTATAAGTAGAAACTAAAAGCTAGTGTGTCTGTGTGTTAAGTGTACATGTGCATGCTCACACACATATATACGTGAGACACGAATATAGATACTAATACAATGATAACTGAGGGACATTTATAATCCAAAATATTTAGGAAGGTGTAAAAATAAAAACTAAAATCATAAGTGACTTAACACAGAAACTTTTATATATGGAAAGACAAAAATCTGCCAAAGGATTTGAAAAGAAAGATATTATTTGCATCATAGGAACAGAGAATAAAGTTAAAGTATAATTTGACATTGTGCTTTACTGAATTTATTGAATAAATTTTTAAGTTGTAAAACACCTTGGTAAATGTATACTCTTAATTCAATAACTGAAGTGCCAGTTAAAAACTGAAAAGAAAGTTATACCTCTCCTAATGTTTGCTTCAAAATAAAGGGTTTTGCTTAGTTTTTAAAACACTTAAAAAAGAACAAAAACTTGTAGACAAAGATAAAGATGGTGAAGTTATTGTAATCATGTACTTTTACTCGCTCCTAAAATTCTAGAATAGAGTTTAAAATGTACAAAACTCATAAGGAAGAAGAAAATGGGAAAGAAAACAATTTAGAAACCACAAAACATATGAGTTAAGCAGTCAGGGATTTAGCTAACCCCAGGTGAAAAGGGACCAATTTCTGCTGCAGACCACCCCCCATGCCACCCCATCCCATCCCCCAGGGAAAAAACTGAGGAAATGGCAGCATTTCTCCCCAGATAGCTGGCATTCTGTAATTCCCAGCAAAAGATAAGAAATATATTCCTAAAGAGTTCATTTTATAGAACTGGTTTTTTTTTTTTTTTTAAGATTTTATTTATTTATTTATTTGAAAGAGAGAGAGAGAGACAGACAGAGCATGAGCATCAGCAGGGGGTAGGAGGCAGAGGGAAAAAGGACTCCCTGCTAAGCAGGGAGCCTGATGCAGGACTCAATCCCAGGACCCTGGGATTGTGACCTGAGCTGAAGGCAGACACTTAACTGACTGAGCCACCCGGTGCCCCGAGAACTGGGTTTTGAGGGGCAGTTCATGGGATCACTTACATACTGAAGGCTGAGATGTCCAGCCTTCTACCCCACTCCTCATCTAGAGTGAGGGCAGTCAGCCCACACACTAGGGAAGGGAGACTGGAAGATCTTTCTCTGGGAGTCTGACCAGCCCAACAAACAAACAGAAAACAACCTCAAGAAAGCAACCACTGACCAGAAAGAAGAAAAATTTGAAACCCTGCAGAGAGTTAAGAGAAGACACTGTATCCTTGAAACAGATAAAGGATGCTGTTAAGAAAATTCAAGACATAAAAGGGAACTTGAGAAACTAAAAATATGATAGCAAAAATGAAAACTTGATAGAGATATTGGAAGATAAAAATTTAGAAACTCTCCCTCCAAGTAGCAGCAAAGACACAGGGGGAAAATGGTAAAGAACAGTATAAAAATTAGAGTAGTTCAAAAGGCCCAGAAACTAAATGACAGATGTCTTACCAAGAAGAAAAAAAGGAAGAAGGGAGAAAAATCAACATAATACATACTTTTAAAATGAAACTAAAGGATAAGAGCTTGCAAATGAAAAGGGCCCACTGGGTTCTCACCAAAATAGAAAAAGATGAAAACTAAAAAAAATCAACTAACAGCAACATAAGCACATAAGGCAGCAATAAGGAATAAATACCAAGAATCTCCAGTGGGGGTGGGGGTGGGGGGACCCATGTTTTCATCCTCAGACTTCTTAAAATGAACATTATCAAACTTGATTTTTAAAAAAAAGCTTTTAAGATCACTCTACCCAGAAGCCAGATTTATCCAATTGTAGTCCATTCTAAACTCAGGTAGAGTTAAGAAAATTCCTTCAAGAGTGAGTTTTAAGCCTAGTAATTATTCAATACAAACAATTTCTCCCTGTGTTTGCTTTCTGTTTCCGTAATGGATAATAAAGGCAATACAGAATTGGCAATTACTATAGAAGTCAATAAAACCTATCCATAGATGCTCTCTTTCAGTCATAAAAAAACAAACAAGAAATTACCATAGGATTAGAGTACACACTTCTGTACCCAATACCTACATTAAGAATCTACACCCTTTCTCACTTCAATAAATAATTTGGGACAAATAAAAGGTTGAAATGAAGGAGAGAGGAGGGATGGCAAATGGATATACATCAAAAATGGTGCATCTCTTAGAAACTTTGGTCAAGGCATTGATTTCTTTCTACAGTTACATTTCAAATAATATATATATATATTTTAAGATTTTACTTATTTATTTGAGAGACTGAGAGCAAGCCCAAGCGGGGAGGGGGACTGAAGAGGAGGGGCAGAGGGAGAGAGAGAAGCAGACTCCCCACTGAGCAGGGAGCCCGACAAGGGCTCAATCCCAGGATCCCAAGATCATGACCTGAGCCAAAAGCAGACACTTAACCAACTGAGCCACCCAGGTGTCCCTCATATAATATTTCAAGAGTCAACAGCAGAGATACGATGTAGGAAAAAACAGCTCATTATTACTCATGATTACAATGTCTGTTTTATAATCATCCAGAGCAATGTCATGTCATTTAATGTGCCACCAAATCTTCACAATACAGAACATGGGTATTTTTCCAATTGACACAGTCCCAAATTTGCATTCCAGCACAGTCATCCCTGCTGATTTCTAGGCCTTCAAATTCAACTGCCAACTTGACATGTGGACGTCATTGTCTCCAAAGCACTCAACATGTCTCAACTGGAGCTCATTATCTCCCTTCTCCAAACTTCTCTACAACTGGGTCTCAATTATTATTGATCCTAGTAAGTGCAGACTTTTTAAACTTGAGGACAAAGACTAACTGGTTTTGTAGAAAAATCTCTGAAATGCAGTCATAAGGTTATTTATGCCTTGACAGACAGAAGCTGCTATACATATACCCATTCAATCCACACAAATTTCAGGTGCCATTTCTTGCTCATATTCATTCAATGTTGTAAATAAATTGGCCTATTCACAAACATGGATTCTGATACCCATAACTATGCAAGTTATCACCTATATCCAGAATGCCTTCTTTAATATTTGCTTTTATTTATCTTTTGTTCTAAGTACCATACCGCAATTTAATTATCTGTTATCATGTCTCACTGATTTTTAAACTCTTGATAATATGTATATAACTGACTTTAGACGTATCTGGCCCTTAACAAATACTTACTGAACAACTGAGCTTTTATTATCGAGGAATGTCATTAAAATACATCAGTACACTGCAGCTTTCCCCACAGT